TTTTTTGAGGGGGTTGGATTATTTTGGTTATGTTGGGTTCTTTTGAGGGTTTTTTGGGGGTTTTGGGAGAGTTGGATTTTTTTTGGCTTTTCAGAGTGGGTTGGTTTTTTGGGGTTTTTTGGGGTATTTTGGAGGGGTTTTTTTGGGGGGTGGGTTATTTTGGTTATTTTGGGTTCTTTAGGAGTTCTTTAGAGGGTTTTTTTGGGTTTTTGGGAGTTTTTTTTGGGTTTTTTTCGGGGGGGGGTGGATTATTTTGGTTATTTTGGGTTCTTTAGGAGTTCTTTAGAGGGTTTTTTGGGAGTTTTTTGGGTTTTTTTTGAGGGGGTTGGATTATTTTGGTTATTTTGGGTTCTTTAGGGGTTCTTTTGAGGGTTTTTTTGGGGTTTGGGGGGGTTGGAGGGTTTTTTGGCTTTTCAGAATGGGTTGGTTTTCTGGGGTTTTTGGGGGGTATTTTGGGGGGTTTTGGGGGTATTTTGGGGGGAATTGGATGGGTTTTTGCCTTTTCAGAGTGGGTTGGTTTTCTGGGGTTTTTTTGGGGTATTTTGGAGGGTTTTTTTGGGAGTTTTTTTGGGTTTTTTTTGGGGGGGTTGGGTTATTTTGGTTATTTTGGGTTCTTTAGGAGTTCTTTAGAGGGTTTTTTTGGGTTTTTTGGGAGTTTTTTGGGGGTTTTTTTGAGGGGGTTGGATTATTTTGGTTATTTTGGGTTCTTTAGGGGTTCTTTTGAGGGTTTTTTTGGGGTTTTGGGGGAGTTGGATGGTTTTTTGGCTTTTCAGAGTGGGTTGGTTTTCTGGTTTTTTTGGGGGGGTATTTTGGAGGTATTTTTGGGGGTTTTGGGGGGATTTTGTGGGAAGTTGGATGGTATTTTGGCTTTTCAGAGTGGGTTGGTTTTTTGGGTTTTTTTTGGCGTATTTTGGAGGGTTTTTTTTGGGGGGTGGGTTATTTTGGTTATTTTGGGTTCTTTAGGGGTTCTTTTGAGGTTTTTTTGGGTTTTTTGGGAGTTCTTTGGGGTTTTTTTGGGGGGGGGTTGGATTATTTTGGTTATTTTGGGTTCTTTAGGAGTTCTTTAGCGGTTCTTTTTGGGTTTTGGGGCCACGTGGCACTCACACTCGAGGGCGAAGCGGAAGAGCTCGTGGCTGAAGTCGCCGGTCCAGCAGCCGTGGCCGCTCTGGCGCGCCTGGGCCCGCGCGCGCCGCACGAAGTCCTCGCCCACGGCGCTGAGCAGGGGCACGAAGGCGGCCACGGCCGCGGGGGCCAGCGCCTCCCGGTTGAGCAGCAGCCGGTCCGAGCGCCACGCCTCGCCCGTCCTGGGGACACGCGGGGACACGCTGGCACCCCAAAGCGCGCCCCGTGTCCCCCGCGCCCTCGGCCCGCCCTGCGCCGGGACCGTCCTGGCAGAGCCCGGATTTGGGGTCCCCAGTCGCGTGAGGAGCTCGGATTTGGGGTGCCCAATCCTGGGGATTTGGAATCCCCACTCACTTGAGGAGTCTGGATTTGGGGTTCCAAATCACTCAAGGAGCCTGGATTTGGGGTTCCAAATCACTCAAGGAGTCTGGATTTGGGGTTCCAAATCACTCGAGCCCAGATTTGGGGTACCAAATCACTCAAGGAGTCTGGATTTGGGGTCCGCAATCACTTGAGGAGTCTGGATTTGGGGTCCCCAATCACTCAAGGAGTCTGGATTTGGGGTCTGCAATCACTTGAGGAGTCTGGATTTGGGGTTCCAAATCACTCAAGGAGTCTGGATTTGGGGTCCCAATCACTCAAGGAGTCTGGATTTGGGGTCCCAATCACTCAAGGAGTCTGGATTTGGGGTCCCAATCTCTTGAGGAGTCTGGATTTGAGGTGCCCAAATCACTTGAGTAGCCCGGATTTGGGGTTCCAAATCACTCAAGGAGCCCGGATTTGGGTGCCCCAATCACTTGCGGAGTCTGGATTTGGGGTCCCCCACTCAGTTCAGGAGCCTGGATTTGGGGTCCCCACTTGCTGGAGGGGATTT